GGCTGCCTGGAAGCTTTTAAAGGCTGCCGTGGCCACTGGGGTCTCAAGGCAGGCATCCAGTTTCCTTACTCTTCATCTCATGCTGCCAGATGCAACGGCTGGAGATAACCGGTTCCATGATAAGTCTGTGTCCTCAAAACTGCTTGACAATCCTCTTAGGTTTTTAGTCATTTCCCTCCTTGTTTTAGGCATGCTTGACCTAGACTTTCCCCATTCTCTTCAACCAAACAGGCTCACTCCTGCTCTTTTTCTTTTTGTTGTAGATAAAGAAGTGTCTTCACAGAATCCCGAAAAGATACACAGAGTAAAATTCTACAGTGTAAAACTTCTGCCTTGATATCTAAAGCCTTCCGTGCCCCAGCCTTCTGCTCATGTATCAAATATCCCCAGTATTCATTTATTTATTAAATAGTAAAACAGAGCACTTAACTATCTACCAATGACTGCTACTCCAAATACATATTTCATTTTCCAGTCTGATTTCGATTATAATTTTTTTTTACATTCATTGATCTCAATAATTGATTCAGAGGAGAACTGGGTTGTTAAAAATGACATTATCCAATTCATCCCCCCTTTTATATGTCTGAGGAAATTAAAACCTGAAGAAGATATTTAACATTCAACAAGAAGTCAGTGACAAAAGTCCAAACTAAAACACTAGTCCCATTATCATAATGCTTTGTTAAGGAAGTTGGCTGCATTGCCCAATTGTGTCCATTGATCTCTTCGCACAGCATCAGAACTCTGCTTTTAAAATGACTATCAACCTGAAGAGCAATGGAGTAACTGCGAGCAAGCTGCCAACCCATATTCTGTTTTAACAGTGGGGAAACAAATCCAATCAGAATGAAAACCGTTAAAGCCTAGCCTACAGCAATAATGCCTAAAATATTTTCCACATTTCTAAACATCAATCTCCATCTTCTGAACTTCCCAAAGCCACCATACCTTAATGCAAGCTTCTTGATTAGCTGGGTACCGTCCTTAAAGCTCATGCTATCTAAACACACTATTTCAACATGAGTAGACCCAGAGTTCCTACTGCACACAGTCAGAAGCAACAGGCACACCTGTGCAGAAGGATGATTTCACATGGAGGTCACTGAAGCTTTGAGTGCAGAGCTGTGACCACTCCTCCCTGGGTGATGGCTTAGCCTGCTCGTCTGGGTCGTGGATCCCACCCACTGAGTCATGCACCCTCTGAGATGAGATGACCTCCTTTTCAGACACAACGACTAAAAATAGATGTCACTTACAGAGAATTCTCTACCTCCAAGAGATCAGAAATATCATTCTTTGGCTGTAGACTTTTAAATCTTGAGTTTTCTTTCCTAGATAATTAGAACCAGAGATTCCTAGGCCATTTTTTTTTTCCTTTTCCAAATTTTACCATGGAAATTTTCAAACACACAGACAAGTTGAAAGAATAGCATGACAAACAGCTATCTTCTGACCATGGAATTCAACAAGGATTAATATTTTGCATACTATTCTATTTTGTAATATGCTTTAATACCTGAAAATTTCACTAGGGAAACTCTACAAAAGAGGCTTATTCAGATCCTCTGAATTACCTGCCCTACTCCTCTGTCAATCTTTGTGCATCTCAGTGGGACAGGCACTTAAGTCCTTTGCTTTTGCCTTGAACATGCATGACACTTAGCCCAGAGGTCACTGCCTTGGTGTTTAAAGCCTTCCCTGTCCCAGCTTTCCATGCCAAGGGCTTCATGGGTGCCCTCCAATTCCCCGTACTCTAACTGATGAACCTTGCCACTGCCAGCTTCTTTGCAGTGATTTTGTCTGTGTCCCAGGACTGGACAGAGCAAAAGTCACTCCTCGGTAAATGGGGACTGGAGGGAACCTCAGAACCTGAAGATGCACCGTCCGTAGAAGACGCAGGCCTGCCGTTCTCCGGGGACTTTCTCTAGAACAAAGCCTGTATCCGTGGATTTAGTGAAAGTTGCTTCCATCTAACTTTTCTTTATCATTTTTTTTCCCCCTGCTTGCTCTCAGGTGCTTTCTACCATTCTTTATTCCCACTTGCCAGCACCTAAGGAGCTGAGCAGAATGGCAACAAAGAGCAACATCTTTGCATTCAAACTACTATGCTCCACTGTGCAGCAGAGCTGTGTAACTTTGCACATGAGTTCCATTGTTTCCGCATGTAAGATGGGGGGAAAAAAACATTAGGGCCCACGTTGTAGGAATGAAGTCAGTATTCAGTGAGATACTATAAGCAACGTTCTGGTACAGTGACAACTGCAGGCTGAGTCCTTTAATGAGTTCTACCTACTAGTATTAACACTATTACAATTTTAAATGCAGCCACTACTCAACACAGACACAAGATAAATGTCTTACTGGACTGTCAGCAGTAGGGAATGGCTGAGGTTGGGGCTGGGTAAGTAGGAGGAGGAACTAAGTAGAAAGGAATCAACCCAGCAGTAGTCACTGTAACTGAATTCCTTTTACTTATGTATTGCCAATGGAATTGCTGTTGTAGAGAAGGGATCTCTGGCCTGTGTTAAATTTCAGCCACGAAATAAATTGTTTTATTTATTCATTAAAAAATTGGAATGGAGCATTTATAAATTTCCCAAAAGACCTCTTTATCAATTTCAAATTCCAGGATTAACTATCCAACTGCTAGAACAATCACAATCCATGAGCCTTCTCAGTCCAGAGTGTTGATTTTATGCATGGCAGATGCGTGCAGCAACCTGCGTGTTTTGTCAAGCCCCTGTTGGAAGTGGGGCTGAGAGGGATGACCTACAGCAATGGTGTCCAGTTGGCTTTAATGATAAGAAGGAAAAGCTATCACCTTTTTTTTTTTGGTCTAATTATTGGCTTAATGATCTAAAGAAGCCACATTTATCATCAGTATTGGTCCTCTCTTCTCCCTCTCAATTTCAAAAACATTCTGACGGTTGTTGATTTTTCCCAGCTCTCCAACTTTGCATACATTCAATCAGAATTCATTGACAGTCTTTACTCAGTTCATTCACAGTGTAGGTGGTTTGTCAGTGCTGGGTATAACAAAGAGAACTCAGCTGGTTCTCTGCTCTAAATGTGGGTGTCCTCAAAAGAAAGGAAGGGCACAAGGTAATTTCTGCATGACTGCTGTGAAGATCTGATGGGCAAAACGCATCCAACACTGGGTCTGACGCTTACCCCAAACTTGCCACTTTCCAGTCCTCTCCTCCCACATCCCCTGCTGAATGGGTAGCATTACTTCTATGCCTCTCTCTGCCTTCTTCAGGGTTCTGATCTCTCTCTGTGCTTAAGTCTTTAAACACGTGAACTACAATCTCCCTGAACCCTTCCACTGCCCATGTGGTCACCACCTCATCAAGGTCTTTGTGATACCATGTTTTGTGGTCGATTCTAAGCAAGAAGTTTAGCACAAGGTATCTGCTAAGACAATCCTTCCTATTAGTACTTTCAAATTCCGCCACTTTGGTGGAGTCTTTGTAGACACTGCCCGGTAACTTATTTTATCTTTCCACTGCTTCTCTATTTCCTAAGGCCGGGATGTGAGCCGTGCCTGTAGCCAATCCATCTCTTTACCTCCAGCAGCTGACACCGAGCACAAACGTGCTCTCTCTGTGCCTCCCTCCCTCCCTTGATAACCAAATTCCATTTTCTCTACAAATTCGATAAACAAAGAAAGAAGCTGGTTCACAGGGAGCTAAGACAATGCACCAGTCAGGAAGGCTGAATACAGCAGATAATAAAAATGTGATATAATAGATAAGAAAAAATACGGGAGGGAGACCCATCCCAGTGCAATGGCTAGGCGCTCTGGCTCTGAACTTGGAACAGGATTCACATCCCACCTTCACCGCTTACTTTCTCTGTGATCGTGGACCAGCTGCACCGGCCTCAGGTTCTTCATTTGAGATCAAGATCCTAACAGTTTTAACTTAGGATACTGTTGTAAGGATTAACTATCATAATGCATGGAATGAACTCGCTTGATGTCAGATCGCTATGAGTGCTCAGTGAATGAGTAACACTACTATCATTCTCATCATTATTATGATAAAGTCACCAGATGTTGATGTAAAACAGAATAAATGAGAGGCAACTGCACATTTCAGAAGACAGTTTCTTCCCCAATAACGTACAGGATTTCTTTACATGGCAGTGTTTTCAGAGTAAGACAGACATCTTTTTTCTTCATTTTTTCCCCAGGGAACCATCTATTGTTTCTTTCTTTTTCATTTTTTCTCTTTTTTCTTTTTTTTTTTCTTTTTTTGCGCAGGGGGAGGTAACTATGTCCATTTATTTATTCATTTAAAGTGGTGGTACTGGAGATTGAACCCAGGACCTTGTCCATACTTAGCATGCACTCTACCACTGAGCCATACTCTCCCCCCCCATCTATTGCTTCTAATACAAAACAAACTTTAGAAGCAGAAACTGTCATATCTTACAATCCATCTTCACCCAAAGAGCAGAACATCACAATTCTTTGCTGATATAAAGGTACATTTAAGAGTGTAAATTCATTTCTAATAAACATGAGATGATGGCTTTATTTATTTGCAAGTCTAATTGCTCCTCGGAGGGTGAGAAGGCACAAAAAGCCTTCCTGTCCTCAGAGGACCAGACCCAGTTCACAGGGCTCAGGAACAATTTATGAAACAGAGCATCTGCCGCCTTCAAACACGTATTTGGCATTCGTATTTTTTTCCACTTTAAAGGAACCCCATCTAAGCTATTTTGATATTATCCCTATTCCTTAAAGAAAGCAGCTTTAGGATCAGCAGCTGATATTGGAAGATAATTCAGAAAAACTTAGGCTTAGCTGGGGATAAGTCCCTTTGTAAACATGCTAGCCTAAGCTCTCAGATGTGTATTGAATAGGAGGTTTAACTGCTTATCGGAAGAATTAAAGGAGCAGTAAGGAAAACAGCACAATAGATTTCCCTCCAATAAAAAGCAGTGACTATTTTGTTCAGGGAAAGTTCAATTTTGAAACGGATGCTACAGACCTGAGGCCATAAAGGACTGTCCCATCTGGATGCAGGCGGATCATGCGGTTCTTGACGGTCACCCCGTGCACAAACGACTTCTTATCATTCAGGAAGTACGTATCGGGCACCCAGAGCTGGTCTGCCACTCTATTGTCCAGAGTCAAGTTTAAAGGTATTACATTATAGGACAGCCTCTTATCTCTCCAAGCTTGCTGGAAGTACATTGTCAAGGTATAATCCTGTGAAAGTAAGAAGAAAAAAAATGGTTATTTTGTACCTAAATGGACTTGGGACAGACACACACTTTAGCAGTCACAAGAAAAGAAAATACACAAACCCAACACTATGAATATATACTATTCACATACAGGCAAATAGCAATTTACTAAACCCATTTTTACTGAGCATGTACTATGTGTCAGGTACCACGGTAAATTCACAAGTGAAAAGACCATATCCTTATGATATTTATTAAATACTACCCAGGAAGAAAGATGGCAAGGAATAATGACTTAATAATTAATTTGCCTTTCTCAAAGTGGGGTGTACAAGATTGTTTTGAGGGGAGGATATAAATATAACTGTAAGAGACTCACAGACATAGAATACAAACTTGTGGTTGCCAAGGGGGCGGGGGGTGGGAAGGAACAGACTGGGATTTCAAAATGTAGAACAGATAAACAAGATTATACTGTATAGCACAGGGAAATATATACAAGATCTTATGGTAGCTCACAGAGAAAAAAATGTGACAATGAATATATATATGTTCATGTATAATTGAAAAATTGTGCTCTACACTGGAATTTGACACAACATTGTAAAATGATTATAAATCAATAAAAAATGTTAAAAAATATAACTGTAAAAAGTAGTCAGTGAATTACAACAGTAATTTGTCAGAGTTTATAAATGAGAATCTTAATCTGTCTAGTCAAGTGTGTTTCCTAGAGGAGGTGACAATTACACTGAGACTGACGCAGCTTCTCAGCCATCTGAAGAGTGTTAGCTCAGTTAGTACTGCATGAGAATTTTAGCACCAGGATCAGCAGGCGAGGCTCTTCCCTGGTGAAAAATAGTGGGTTGTCATAAAGTGAGCACTGGTCTTGCGGTCCCAGGCTCCAGCTTTCCCCAGCTATTTCTAGGATGCGAATTTCCATAACTTCTTTTTGCTTAGGTTCCATGAACTATAAATGGAGCTTTTAAAACATCCCTAATCCAACCAGAGGGTTACTGTGACAATTAAATGTATAACTCACATGGAATTTACAAACTACAAAAAGCTATATATTATGAGTAAAGCATTTGCATATATAGTGTGACATGTTTTATCCATTTTTATCCATTATCCAGAGGCCTATGGGTACAAAGTAACTGCTCTCTCACCCTCATCTGAATGACTAAATGAAGAACCAAATATTCATCTGAAAAGGATAATTACCATTCTGTTTCAAAATCAGTTCACAATGCTCCACTTGAGGGCTTTAAAAAATAAAACTAGCATCATGTATTAATCATGTCTGCAACCTAAAAGCTAGCAAAGTCCTAGGGCACAAATAATGAATGAATGAATGGGCAATAAGGTATGCTACTGGATTTTGGCACATACCTGCATACTTCTGTGGACAAAACACATAGTTCAATTTCCATGAAGTCCCTGAGTTTTTCCAACCCTTGCTGAGATTTAAACATCTTAATTTGGTTATACAGTTTTACAATATAACTTGCAAGATACTACCTGCTAAACACATCAAACAGCTTCACAGGAAAAGTATCATCCTCTTGCAAAAAAATTTCAATATTTTCCCTGGTTTCACGAATAGACAAATTTTGATCTCATTCAAAAGTCAGTGTAGAGATGATTTCTGAATGAGAAGTACAGAATCAAACTGCTAATGAAATAATATTAATATCCTGAAGGTACATCAGATAATTGTCGGGGAAATTTACTTCAGTGGATCCCTTTAGTCCGTGCTCTGGAACGGCTCTGCCTCACTCTGCTTTAGTTCAGTATTAGTCTGAGGTTCTCTAGCATAACATTTTGATTTATAATGAAAGCAAACTTGAGGGCTTATGAATTATAGAATTTTTCTATAACTAGAAGAAAGAAATTGGACCAGATACATTTTTCACTGTCTTTTTATCACAGGTAGCCTAAAAAGTGGACCATAAGTAAAACAGGCAATTTACCTTGTGCTTGAGAGAACACACTTACTTAGTGATTTCTAATTCTTGGAGAGAAAATGGAAACTTTGATTATTAACTCTATTAGCAGATAAAGCTTCTTAAGACCTCTTAATAAAGCCCTATTAAGATTTAGGAGAAATAATACAGTTTGGAAGGTGCTGGAGCCTATCAGTCAGTTGACGCTGAGATGTGTCTGGACACAGGAGACTGTTGGGCTAAATAAATGGCAATATTGTGAGATCCTGGATCGTATGCTAACTCCTGTTATTTGTCAGCAAGGCAGTGCCTGGTAAGAAATGCTCCCAGACAGACCCTGGTGACTCTGCTAACTGTCACATCAATTTACATTCCTTTTATTTCTAAATGACACATCATGACACTGTCAAGAAAGGAAGGAGTACCTGAATTGAAATAAATGTTACCAGACATAAAAGGAAAGAATGGTTCTGTGTTCCACCCTCTCTCCTAGGCCCTCATGCCCCCAAGATAAATCCTTTGAACTTCCACATGGAAAACATATCCTTGACATCCGTCTAACAACCCTACCTCCAGGAAGATGTCTCACAGCTGGTTTATTCAAACTTAAAAAAACCCCAAAACAACAAGTAAATCACTTTGGGGTGCTCTGTATTCCATGGCATCACCACGCAAGACGGACTTAGATAATCACAACTAAAACCAACTGACCTCCAGTGTCAAAGAAGATGGAGTAAACCTAACATAGGCTCTCTTTCTCACTAATTACAACTAACCATCCTGGAAAGAATAAAAAGGCCACTACCTAAGCACCACGCAAAGTAAAAACTAATAAGCAGATAAGTCAGATAATCAAAATATGAAGAAAACCATTACAATAGTGAGTTACTTGTTTTTTTAAATCTCTCTTTTATCTTCTTAAGGTAACACACACATACATACACACACACACACACACCCAAAAGTGTAAACAAATGGAAAGATATACCATGTTCATGGATTTGAAAAGTGAGTATTGTTAAGATGTCAATTCTCCCCAAACTGACCTACAGATAAAATTCAATCCCAATCAGTATCTCAGCAAGATTTTTGTAGATATGAACAAGCTGACTCTAAAATTCATATGGCTAGAGAGGGAATGAGAATAAACGAAGTGATTTTGAAAGGTAAGAACAAAGTTGGAGGATTCTGAAATCACACTGATTTCAAGACTGACTAGGAAGCTACACTAAGAGAGTATGATCGTACAGTGTTGATAGAAACATTGATCAATGAAACAGTAGAACCTAAAAATCAACTCTTACAAATGTGCTCAAAGATTTCTGACAAAGGTGTAAAGGCAGTAGATTGGAGAAACCATAACAGTTTCAACAAATAGACAGGATCAAAAAAACAAAACAAAACAAAACAGGATCACCTGGAACATGCAAATGTAAATAAATAATAAATAAATAGATAAACAAGCAAGCAAGTTAGATCCCTAAGTTAGATCTCTCTTCTGAGTGTGAGACCCACATATTCATTACTATATATGTGACATTTGGAGCTAGGACATTCCCACATCCCATAGGTAAGTGGTCTCCAAACTTTTAAGTTTTATGTAAGTAAATATGTTGAGTGCAGCCCTCAAAATAAAACAAAACCAAACCAAAAACCCAGCTGACGATTTCAAGTGCCACTGATGGTGCAGAGCAACTAAAACTCATACCTGCAGGTGGGAGGAAAAGCATCAGCCACTTGGAAAACAGCTGGACAGTTTCTTATATAGTTTACACATATTTGACATAACAACCTAGTGATCCCATACCTGTGAGCAAATGTTTAGGGCATTTCTTGATATATTCAACACCATCACTGGTTTCCAAATAAAACAATGTTCAGTCGAAGAAGCCAGATTCAAAAGAACACATACTACATGACCATTTATATGACATTTTTGAAACACATAAAACTATAGGGACAAAGAACCGATTACTGCTTCTCTGGAGTTTGAGGTGGAGGGGAGGTGGACCACGACGGGTCAGCACGAAGAGATGATTCTGGGTAATAGGAGTGCTCTGCAGTTTAACCATAGTGGTGGTGAACAACTTCAGGAAATTTGTTAAAACGCACAGGACAATACACCAAAATGAGTGCATTTATTTCTGCATGTAAATTTTTAAAAAGTTTTAAAACTGCTTAAACAAAAAAACCCCATGGTCGTTAGGATCAAACACACCCAGGTCCTCACTCTAATACTTCCCTGTCCCTCTGCTATAACCTTGGTTGAGATGAACGAAGAGAAAGAGAAATTTCTCTCTCTGGTCTCTGTTTCCAACTCAAAAGAACTAAAGCTAATTAACTTAGGAACTGGGGTAAATGAGAGGTGCTTGGACACTCGTGGGGGGTGCAGTAGAGCGAAGCACAAAATAAGCCACCTCCATGCAAATCAAGGAGACACATGGGCCCATCAGTTTGGGCTGAGAGGACAACAATTGAAGGTTACAGGTTCACAATTCCCCTTTTGTCCAAAGAAGCAACTGGACTAGGAAGTTTCCAAGGCCACCCCTAGGGATAAAATAATTCCATTCTAAGAAATGCCTTGTTGCCTTTGTCTGCAAACGCATCTTGCCATTTCAAAATCTTCTAAATGTCTAAAATACTTTTTGTGATTGTTTCTTGCTGTCTTTGAATTCATTGTCTAATAGCAAGATTCACACTCTTCCTGTTTCTTTGGCTTAGTGTTCCACAAAGTACATGGTACGAAATAATTTGTGTTACGTGTTTCTTACCTTCTCTACCTTTAACGTTTGGTGAACTGCCTATTCTCGCTCTATAAACATTTTTCTGCTGAAAATGTTACCTCCTGCTACTGGATATTTCATAGATATCTATCCATATAAAACATTTTCTTATTTTGCTGCTTTCTTTTAAATTTCTTTCTACAATTAGTTTAACTTTAAAACAAACAAAAAGTAAGTACAGAGGGTTTCTGTATAGTTTTCACACAGCTTCCTCTAAGATTAACATTTTACATAACCATAGAACAATATCAAACCAGGAATGTTGACATTAACATAATACTATTTACTAAACT